TGATCGATAACCATTTCCAATAAGATTTACAACCGAATTATTTTTAGGAATGCCGAATATACATAAAATTTAACTTGTTTTGTGTATAAAAAAATTCAAGATTTTAACAACTTTAATACATCTTGCGGCGATTTTAATTTAATTAAAATATTTATGCAGATATTAGTCATCTTAATAAAGAATTATAACTACACATTACTTTAAATGATACATAAAACATAATATTAAAATACTAAACGTGTTAAACATTGCATAAAATTATAGCTAAGATTGTCTTTTTTAATTAAAAATACAAATTAATTCAAGTAGAATAATTTAAATATTGGTATACTACTAATGCATCTGAACTAAAAATACAGATTAAATAAAAATGTCATGTTGTAGGGTTTGCAGACTATTACAAAAGGAAATCTGTCGGTATGAACTTTAGAGAAATCAACTTAAACAATAAGACTATGGAGAAAAAAATAAGAAATTCTATCAATAAGAGCACGGCAACTTGGGTTCGGACAATTATTGTCGTTTACTGAATATTTGAGAGCACTTATTCATTGTACTGATTTGAATAAACAAAAGAAATTGTCTTGAACCGGATTTTCGACATTCAGACCTGTACATTGCTTAATGTTCCAACACCTTCCCACAAAATACAAAAATGGTTTATGTAAATCATGGCAGCAATATTAAGCGATTGATTTGGTATAAATTCGCAGGATACAAATAACCGAACGGCAGAGAGGCTAAGATGCCGACAAATTCGGGTTAAAATATTTTTATTTTTTACGAGTAGGCTAAACCGTATATAACAAACCGGTCGAATTGCTAGAGCAAGAGGCACTCTCTTTTATTGCTCACCACCGTCAGGTCTACTATACGGCCATTCGTATAATGAGAATTTGTTTATAGCTTAATAATCCTTAAAGATTAAAAGACATAAAATAACGTTTCATGTGTAATTACATTTCAACTGGTTTCTATTAGTGTATTTTATGCACGCACTACATTTGTGTAGCTTTCTGCAGTTGCCAGAGTCGACGACGAATTCCTCTGTGCACCCCAACATCGTTTTTACGATGCATAACTCGTATAAATAACACCAATAAACTTTTTATTTCGACAAATAACAATTTATTGTTTATTGTTCAAACTAAATGAAATGATTTATGTAATATCAGAACTTTTCGTTTATTCACGATAGCATTATTATAAAAAAAACAATTCAAATACTATAAAGGATCGTGATCCCTAACAATGATGGAACATTGTGTACAGTTTTTACTTTATATAATTTTTTCACATATTTTCCATATCCCTCTCATGGAATCCGAAAGAATGCATGCTCTTGCAGTCGTGAGCGATGCGGTGCGTGAACATAACACAACTGGCCGCCGCAACACTCGGTCGTGACATTCAGGTTGCCATTTTTTTCGATATGTGATCATCTCTTAGGACTTTAAGTACCATGCGCTTGCATGCGATAATAATGAAAAAAACTGCAGCCAGTAATTCTTAAGAAAAATACGTATCTCTGCACATTAATATGGTTTCATAATGTAGATTCGTCACGTCAAAGGACTTCTTCCATCCTATGACCCACATGGAAGAGGCTGATTATTGTACTGTGGGTGTAACGATATATGTTCGGGCCTACGTACCAGTTGTATACATAGTATAGCATAATCACCACCAATTCCAACTGCAGCTCAAAAACTGCATACGAATTACTGTTAATGCGCCACTGTATATCAACCGTTTAAACCGTGCTCTGTTTCAAATTTGTTTATCGGTTAGAAAAAATTGGTTCACGTTACTAGCCAGTTTTGACCGAGCGATTTATAACGCATAATATTGCAACGATAAAACACCCAAACAATAAGTCGTTTGATTTAAAAAACCCATTTCAATGTTAACGAGTCGAGACGCAGGCAAGGGGAGTTATAGCTTCAATAAGCCATTTAAGTTGAAAAACGTTTATGATGCTATATAAAAACGATCCACAGAACCGAATTGCTGTGAGAAGTAAATGTTGCTAATTATATAGTTTCAATTAATTTACAGATAATGTGTATACGCGCATGACCGGTATCGCTTTGCCGTTTAAACGCTTGCCGTTATTAAATGATACACCAAACCAAATCATACATAGAATGCAGTGGGATCATAAAGTGTTGCTTATGGGCGGCACCAACGAATATTGTAGCGCAGATAGCAGTAATTTAATTTTAGGATTGGATATTTTTCCCTTCTTTTCGCGCCGAACAGGTGTAAGAGATGTATCTGTGACCCTCGTGTACGACAGCAGCAACAGCATCGGCGGTAGTGTGTCGGCGTGGGTACATATTGGCGCCAACTGACAATGGCCCCTTGAGCCCTCTTCTACGCACACGCATACAATTTCTATTGTGCGTATAGTTTTGGTTATTAACGCGTCGAGGTGTATACATCATATTATTATTCTTTATCGCATATACATATGGATCTTATAAAACATGGGTATTAAGAGTATGAGAGCCCTCCTCTATCACATGAGATGCACTTATAAAATGTGTTCAATGCATAAAAACGCGAAACCGATACTGCGATACGCATTTTTCATCGATATCGAGCAATTATTTCCCAAATAAGTTTTATACGCGGTTATTTGCATAAGCGTCCAACCTCCAAATATCCGTCAGGCCTAAAAAAAATCTCCATTTGTCTATAGCTAGTATCATAGTTTATGCGCTTTGTCCGTCCGAGTTCCTAAGCTACGAGTTCATGTACGTCGTGGCTCCCGAACTGATACACGCATAAGATATGTAAAATGTCTGCGGCGTGTATATTTTATAGATGTATAAGCAGACGTGTGCATATAGAAACCTAAGACCAACGACCATTGTATAGGTCAACAATATACACCTAGAAGGGGCTGGTTACTGCATCGACTTTGGCGATGGAGTAAAGGAGAAAAAACCAAGCCACACGAGGTAGGACAATGCAACCGGTATATCATGGCCCATACCCCCGCATATACACACACTTGTCACGTGTTATTGTTATTTATAACAATACTAGTGTAACGACTGCTATTGTGTGTACATCTTTAAGAGTATAGACCATCGTTTCACTCCCAAAAACGTATGATATGCATTTCAAAGTTTAGGACACGCATGGGTTTACCACAAGCTCTTCCGGTAAGGACAGTAACAAAAATTATAGGGATTTGGTTGATTTTCGAAAACACTAGTTGTAGTTCAAGAATACATTATGGAAACAAAAACAATCAACTGTATCACATTAACATAATTATTCAAAAATAAAAATATACCTTTCTAGAATTACAATATTTTGGTTTAAGTAGTGGCTAATTTCATTATTCATGGTAAGCCCCCACACGAATTTGTTCAATAACAGTGGGGCTTATAATATAAAAAAAATTTTAATTTAATTAATGACAATACTTTTACATGCATTATGTGTTTACATGCACGTATTAAAAATGTTCATATCAGATGGGGATGATGATAAGCTTATTAGAAAAGTTAATGGTGATCAAAGTGGAGGGGATTAGGAATTGCATTCAGGCCCTGCATTGACATTTTTATATGATTTCCAAAATGCAAACATTTTGAAAGCTTTATACATGATATTTAATTTAAAATTTATTTAACATAATTAATATGAAAAAAATTTATCTTACAATATTTTTAAGAATAAATTTCAAAATTTGTGTAAATTCAATGGGATTTTAAAATAGATTAAATATTTGAAATTTGCTTAATAAGAAGGAAGCTATCTATGCATGTACAATAATCCTCAGTAATACACTGATAAAGTTAACACACATTTTAAATCTCTTAGATAAGGGGTATAGCTTCCACGAAGTTTTTTCTATAGAGTTTTCATCATTTCCCATAACAAAATCATTTGACCGCCAATTTGACAATTTTGGTTATTTATTACCGATATACTCTAGATACTCCATATAGATTATTTAAATCCGTTAAAAGCTATTTAAAGTGCATACTAAATACATACTATAAATTTTTTAAGTTGTATTTGTTTCTCATAATAGGACTCAATTGTTTATAAGAGACTTTAATGACCGGTGCCAAAGATGTTTATGTGCTTACGCTCACACAGGCGCCTATAGTATTGATACAGTCTGCATGTTTTGATGAAAATAATATGAAAAACACCTACTTAAACTTTTGGGTACATTATACTTCTGCAGTGATAATACCAGCTGATAGTTTTATTTGGAAAGAATACTCCAAATTTGGATAGTAGAAAAAAAACAAATAAAAGAAAACAACATAATCTTAAGTGCAGATAATACGGAACCCGTGTAACAGGTCGGCAGCACCAAATAGGCCTTACTCGTGCATATTGTATAACGATATGTGTGTGTGTGTGTGTGTGTGTACAACCTCCACAAAACGCCTACCTTCGAAGAAAAGCAACATCTGTGTGTGTGTATCTATCGACATTGTGAAATAATTACAATACGAAAACGAATGTACAATATTCATACATTCTTCTAGGATATTAAAAAGAGGAAAATAATGCACAATAGTTAAAAACTTGGCACTAGTTAATAATTGCGCACATATATGACTATTTCAAGTAAATCAACATTTTATGATTGTTACCTGCTTGAATGACGAGAGTAATTTGAATTGGAATTAAATGATAGGAATTCGAGAAAAATTTAGATAAAAACAAATCGCTTAAGAGTGATATGATAAGAGGATTGGAACACTTGATACTTTCGCGTTGTTGTTTACTGTAGTGAATACGATTTTACTCGACAAATCTAAATCCTCGTAAATCGCTTATCAAACATCTTTACTATGTTTTATGGTCTCAGAAATCGATAATTATATAATACAGAAAATAAAAAAATCATATTTGCAAACCACCGAATTTCCAAAAATATGTTCATGGAGAGTACGTTGATTCGTTGTTGTTGTCAACAGATAACAATTATCATAAATTATGTTAAATCGTTGCGGACTTACCAGAAAGCACACCTGTTCATGATGAGATACAACAATCGGTTGTCCAAAAATTATTACTCCATATGCAGGTAAATAGTTATGTAGTCCACAGCACATGCAAACTCACATTTATAGTATTACAATTGTATCGATTCGACGATAGCAAACACTGCGACAATTACGTGTACGAACGCACCGGCAGATCGGCTGGCGGGCACAGACTGAAGACGGCGGAGTGGTATTCAACAGCAATAACGCGGTCAGAAGAGGCTGCTGTGGCGGATTGGTCCGATAGGCACGCGTTGGAGGGTAGGGAGTTAAAGCGAGACGACGGGGAGCGACCGAGACCACTCCGTCCTAGAGTGTATAGCCGTCGATTATACACAATAATATTACACTGTACAGCGACCGTGTGTGTGTGTATGTGTGGTGTGCTCGTATACTTATAAACATTACCACCAGGTATGTGCCAGGTAAGCGGCGCAGCGCGCGCTGTGTGTGTGCGTGCGTCGTACGTTAGGCGTTGGTGGGTGTATAACGGACAAACCCGGTCGAGTGTTTTCGTTTTCTACAGCTAAACTCCCAATAGTATAATGTATGTTTTTTCTGTGTTTATAAACCGTCTGCCTGCTTACCGATACCGTGTCCAAGAGACGCGTGTCCCTCTGGTCGTACCTCTTTTTCAACCTCTCGGTCCTCGTGCAGTTGTTTGGTTCTCATGCAGTGTCTTGTATGTGTGTGCATAATATATTTACACTTGAATGTATATGTCAATACGGAGTAGACAACAACAAGTCGTTTTGTTTGTTGAGTAAATACAATAGTAGTAATAATAATAGTAACCCAAAAGAGATACGATAAGAAGTTAGTTTGTGACATACAAACAATACTCGATTTGCTCGCCATAAGCGTTGTGGAAGGTTTGATCATCACCCTCTAGAATTTACATTTTATTTAAATATCGGTTAAGTGATGTACAAGCTCATAAGAAAATTACAAGATATCAACTACAGGATTTGAGATAGCCGATACCCATAACGAGTAGAAGAAATAATACTGGAGGAGATAAATATTTTGTCGAAAAAAAATTATCACCTTGTACAGCCTCACAGTACGCCATGTTTATAATATAATTATACACGTTCAACGTGATCCGTAGTTACCTATAATAACAATATCGTCGGCACCAACTTTTCTGGACGCATACATAGTATAATTTGATAAAAGAGTTTTGTAACCATCTAATAAAAAAAACAGATGTTAACATATTTAGAGGAATTTATTTCGGCGGTTACGTTTTGGAATAATTATCGATGAAAAAGAGATATTGAACTATTGGAGATGCGTTAATTATACATATTGTACAGACAATGTTAATTCAGAGCACAGAACTTTGAAAAAATAAACGTGCGTAGATCCTATAGAAATCGACAAATAACATTTAGAGGTTCAAGAAAACTACATTTATTTACAATTTCCAACAACAGGCTAAGAAATTTTTTTTTTCTCACTCAACAAAATATCAGCGATACTGTAGAGTCAATAATTTATACAACCAGATTCAAAACTATCGTCTAGGATATACGTGTTAACTTCAGTAATTAACCGAGATGTTATTTCTCGTCGTCCAGCGGACACGTACAAGACGACGATAGATGATTATTTAAAACGTTCAGCGTTTTAATCTGCCGAAACGTTTAATAATGAGGTCTGCTGAAGAATGCGACTTCATCTGTTCTCTATACACAATACTATATTTACAGTACTATATAGTCAGCAGCATTCCTGCGTTCACCGTGTCGACGCCATTATAATATGCGCCGCGAGACCGTTGTCGGCACATAATGTAATATCAATAACTGATATAATTGACGTGCATACATGTATGTGTTTATAGTTTTTAATTAGATGCTAATCGGATTAAACGAGTTACGGGTCAGACGCGGGTAATGCTTGTAACGCGTGTATGTGTTGTTTCTACGGCCGGAGTAAGTTCTAGCGCAGAGGACGTTGAATTTTCCCAACTCGTGCTCCAATCTGCAGATATAATATAGGCACGAATTCTTGAACCGCCCACAAAACGATCAGTTTTTATTTTTATCATATGTTTGATGTATGAACTGTGCGCCCTTGCCAAGTAGGTTTTAAATACTTAATCCTGTTCGAGAGAGCAAGAAAAATAACGAGGAAATAATTTTACTTTAATTGCACTTGGAATGCATATAAATGAAAACAATACGTTTACCTGGTAGCAGTGATGAAGGACGACGTTTCTATAACTGATGCCCAAGATAGTTTTCATAAAATAAAAGCCTTGCCAATAACACAAGTCGTGTATAAACCGCAACAATTGCAATGAGATCCGGGGGACTTAGGACTAAATTGTTTTCATAAAAATTCATATCTTACCTGAAAATAAAAATAAAAATAAATTAGATAATCCATTATAACGTACTGACAATTCAATAATGACTAAAAATCAATTATAGAATCTTATGTTGTTTTAATTCAAAAGAATTACACAATATAAAAGGGAGGTCACCAATCATGTGTATAAAATAAAATTCTTGTCATGTGGTAAAGCTTTTATTTATCATTCCCAGTAAAGCAATTGAATGTCGGGCGAGGCTAAGATTGATGTGTCAAAAACAAAATAACACAAAAAATAGGCAATGACCGCATTACAGGTTATCATTGGAATTGCCAATAGTTAAATAATAACTTTTTTTATTTAAGCTACATGCCGCCATTAATGATTATTAAATGTTATTAAAGTAGAATATTATACGGAGTGGATTGACCTGACGAAAAAAAATTTATCTTTATTTAGTTTGAAAACAGTCATGATTATCATATTTACAAAGTGTGAGATGGTAAGACCCGCATCCAATCTACCGAGGGAAAAAATGTTCTTTTTTTAAGTTATTTATCATTGTCAACAGTTTTATTGTTTTAACTAAACGAATGAAAAAACGCAAAGAAAAAATCACCCACATTTCCATTTTGACATCCAGTAAACTGATACGGTGCACCGAAAATATCCTTTGTTAAACAAGCTTGAGCCGTTTATCAAATAAATAAGCTGATTTTTTCATATAAAATTATCAATGACACATTATGTTATCTTCTGTTTACTACGAATAACGTTATTATCAAAAACGATAAATTTATATATAAAAAATTGTTTTTCTTGCAATGCCCAAAATGTCATAGCACAATCATCTATTTATAGTCTTAAACGCAATTAGATTCCTATTTATGGCAAATGCGTTTGTTTGGGGACTTTATGACATTATTTACATTTACTTAATATCCTATTATGTAAAATTAATTCATATAATTTGTGCAGTTTTATGACCATTTAACATATCGAATACATAATAGTCTGGGCTGTTAGATCCAATAATCCATGTAAAATTTTTTTAAGTCAGAGTAAACTACTGTGTGGCCTAACGTCTTACAATTTAAAAACTTGGCACTGAATGATTAATTTTTGTACACTAACAGTGATCTTACATATCATCTAGACTTTTTTTTATAATTAATAATGATAACCGTATGATTAAAATCATACAATAACAATTAATTTCATAATTAATCTATTGTATGTTTGCATAATAAAGTATGCAAAATTTTCATTGCTCTAAAAATATTGTCTCTTACGTTTAATTATATGACACATAAAAAATAAGTCGGTAATTATGAAAAAAAAAAATTTTAATAATGTATTCATTTTTATGGAGGGTTTAAATAAATATTATTCCAATTTTTTTAGTACAATTTGATTGCAAATATAAAAATTTCGTAAAGTAGAATGTACTTCACATAGTTTATTAACACCGCTGATTTCAACTATAAATGTTTGAAATATATAATAATTGTCCACTTAACAACAGTTAATCAAATATGCAAATATTATACATATCTGTTTGAATTCTTGAGCAAAAAAAAAAATGCAGTTAAGTATTTAAAAAAATTATTTGAACATAGGTTATTGAATTATGAAAGGTTTATCAATAATTCAGAATCACATTTCTTTGAATCAAACAATTTTTCAAATTTAAAGAAGTAAAAGAATTACTTTGTCCTTTAAGCATATGAAATTAATATTTGTGTTACAAACTACAAGTTTAAAAAAAAATGTCCAAACGACTTTTTTACTTTTTAATATTCAAACACTATCTTCAGTTTTGTGTCGAGCGTTTCTTGATAGTGATTTTAATCATCAGATATCATTTATACTTGTCCCAGATATGTCGAGTCAGCACTGTGTTGTTTTTTTGCATTAAAATTATTACTCATTGATTTAAAATTTTCACATCTCAATCACAAAAACGTATTCTACTTCGATTGAAGACTTAAGACTAAAAATTAGTTTAACAGATTTGGGATTGAACTATATAAAGAACCTCGGTTATCAAACACGGGCAATAAGTATCTATAATTTAAAAATCTTATAGTTGTAAACAATATCATAAACACTTTTTTATTTTTTATAGTTAACAGTTATATTTTATTATTATAATTTAATGACCAACACCATCAGACACACGTGCAAATTGGTTGTAAATACAAACTGAAATTTCTAAGAATTTCGCCTTGCAAATTATTAGCTGACTTTTTTCTCCACTGAACACTTTATAGTAATAAAACGATGAAAATTTCGAAAATTTATCATTATAAGTACTATTTGTATATGCATGTACTTGACGAAAGACTATACACACAAGTTAATAGTAGTGTAGTTAATAATGAACTATATGATTTGGAACGCAATATCGTTTTATCATTACTGTCGATTGTATTACTGTGTATCTACAAAGGATAATAATAATTATAACGTGTGATACGTTGAAACACAAAGAATTCTTAGTCGTGTTCGCTTAGTTGTCAGTTATAATAAATCCCAACACATATTATTATAAACATATCGAATCGGTTGACGTGTGAGAAATGTATAGGTTTTCAAGTTGTATTGTTAGTCTATGTCTTTTTAAATTTCCTAGTATATAACATAGATGTATTTGAATTGTTCATGATTTGAAATCTATAACTATATAATAGGCTACCTTTAAAAATATATCTGTTGTACGATGTTCAATAACGAACGATATACCGTAGCATATTTTTTAAGACAATAAAAGTTAGAACTGTTAAAATACAACTAAAAACTTGAGATTAGATTACTAAGTTAGAAAATAATAATGAACACAATCGCAATAGCTAATGATTCGATAAATTAAACAAATATCATCCAAACCTATTATGAAGTATTGTTAAACCTAATTTGTCAATTTTATTTATTTGTCAACTTAATGGTAACTATTATTTAGGAAAACCTCATACCAAATACAATGCTTGTTTACGTTGCTTAGAAACGCATACGTGTAATTTAAAA